ATTTTACTGTTGCGTTAAACAGAGGCTACTCTTCTACCAAAGGATAGTAGACAGACTAAGTGTGCCCCCGACCTCTAGGAATGAGCTGTGTTGACCTGTTGGAACATGGGGCTTTTATAATAGGTTTGACTCTTCACGTAAGGCAACCCGCCCTCCAAACAAAGACCCAAAAGTGATTCCATGCACCCGCCAAACCCCCTGTTTATGCAACCCGTCCTCGACTCAAGTCCATTCCATCCAGTGGTCGACCCCACGGACGCATTCATAAATTTGTACATGCTGTTAATTCAAAACGGGAATTTTTTCAAATATAAATTAATATTATAATAGCGGGCATGGGGAGTAGAACAACTCCCAGAACCCCATCAACAAAGTAACCAGGTATCAACCAGGTATATTGTGCATATATAGGCATAGGTTAGGTTAGGTGTTTAGGTTCTGTTGGCGATTATTTGTATTTGTAGTACGTGGGTGAAGTATTTACAGCGTTGTGGTTCGAACAAAATTAGTCAGTGAAGCACTTGTTCCGGAAGTGTTTGAACAAAATCAGCTGTGAGTCGTGTGTAAACTCTCCAAATGTACTCACTAGAAAGGAGACGAGAGAGATACCAAATAATATACACATGGAAAATACTGGAGGGACAGGTCCCTAATCTACACAGTAAAATAGCAACGTACTGGAGTGAACGATATGGAAGAAAATGCAGAATAGAACCAGTGAAGAGCAGAGGTGCCATAGGCACAATCAGAGAACACTGTATAAACATCAGAGGTCCGCGGTTGCTCAACGTCCTCCCAGCGAGCATAAGAAATATTGCCGGAACAACCGTGGACATCTTCAAGAGGAAACTAGATAGTTTCCTCCAAGGAGTGCCGGAGCAACCGGGCTGTGGTGGGTATGTGGGCCTGCGGGCCGCTCCAAGCAACAGCCTGGTGGACCAAGCTCTCACAAGTCAAGTCTGGCCTCGGGCCGGGGAGTAGAAGAACTCCCAGAACGCCACCAAACAAAGGTGTGTGTAGTGACCAAAGGTTACTTACAGGATGAGAGCAACACTCGTGGTGTTGTGTCTTTCCCGTAATGTTGTCACGTGACCTTTCAACTACTGCTGGTTATGGCGCCCACCGCCGCCTTCTCCCCTAACTTGTTCCAACTGTCTACAACTGTGTGGGTTCTCACCTAGTTGTGCTTGTTGGGGCTGGGCTCTGGCTCCTTGGTCCCGCCTCTCAACTGTCAATCAACTGGTGAACAGGTTCCTGAGCCTACTGGGCTCTTATCATATCTACACTTGAAACTGTGTATGGAGTCAGCCTCCACCACATCACTTCCTAATGCATTCCATCTGTTAACTACTCTGGCACTGAAAAAAATTCTTTCTAATGTTTCTATGGCTCATTTGGGCACTCAATTTCCACCTGTGTCCCCTAGTGCGTTTGCCCCTTGTGTAAAATTGTCTGTCTTTATCTACCCTATCAATTCCTCTGAGAATCTTGTATGTGGTGATCATGTCCCTCCTAGCGCTTCTGTCTCCCAGTGACGTGAGGTTTAATTCCCGTAGTCTCTCCTCGTAGCTCATACCTTTCAGTTCGGGTACTAGTCTGGTGGCAAACCTTTGAACCTTTTCCAGCTGAATCTTATGCTTGACTAAATATGGACTCCATGCTGGAGCCGCATATTCCAGGATTGGTCTGACATATGTGGTATAAAAAGTTCTGAAAGATTCCTCACACAAGTTTCTAAGGGCCGTTCTTATGTTAGCCAACCTGGCATATGCCGCTGATTTTATCCTCTTGATATAGGCTTCAGGGAACAGGTCTGGCGTGATATCAACCCCCAGGTCTTTCTCTCTGACTCTTGAAGTATTTCATCTCCCAAATGATACCTTGTATCTGGTCTCCTGCTCCCTACATCTATCTTCATTACATTACATTTGCTTGGATTAAACTCTAACAATCATTTGTTCAACCATTCCTTCAGTTTGTCCAGGTCTTCTTGAAGCCTCAAGCTGTCCTCCTCTGTCTTAATCCTTCTCATAATTTTGGCGTCGTCAGCAAACATTGAGAGGAATGAGTCTATGCCCTCTGGGAGATCATTTACGTATATCAGAAACAGGATAGGTCCGAGTACAGAGCCCTGTGGGATTCCACTGGTGACCACGCCAATCTGAGGTCTCGCCTCTCACTGTAACTCTCTGCTTCCCATTGCTTAGGTACTCCCTTATCCACTGGAGCGCCCTACCAGTTACTCCTGCCTGTTTCTCCAGCTTATGTATCAGCCTCTTATGGGGTACTGTGTTAAAGGCTTTCCGACAGTCCAAGAAAATGCAGTCCACCCATCCTCTTTCTTGCTTATTCTTTGTCACCTGATCGTAGAATTCTATTAAGCCTGTAAGGCAAGATTTACCCTCCCTGAACCCATGTTGATGGGTTGTCACGAAGTCCTTTCTCTCCAGATGTGTTACTAGGTTTTTTCTCGCGATTTTCTCCACCACCTTGCATGGTACTCAATTTAAGAACACTGGCCTGTAGTTCAGTGCCTCTTGTCTGTCACCCTTTTTGTATATTGGGACTACATTAGACGTCTTCCATATTTCTGGTAGGTTTCCCATCTCCAGTGACCTACTATACACTATGGAGAGTGGCAAAGTGCCTCTGCACACTCTTTCAATACCCATGGTGAGATTCCGTCCAGGCCAAGAGCCTTTCTCGCATCCAGATCCAACAGATGACTCTTGACCTCATCTCTTGTAATTTCGAACCCTTCCAAGGGCGCCTGGTTCACTGCCTCCTCTCCTAGCACAGTGACCTCACCTCTTTCTATTGTGAAGACCTCCTGGAACCTTTTGTTGAGTTCTTCACACACCTCTTTATCATTCTCTGTACCTGTCCTCACCCGTTCTAAGTTTCATCACCTGTTCCTTCACTGTTGTTTTCCTCCCGATGTGACTGTGGAGTAGCTTTGGTTCGGTCTTGGCTTTATTAGCTATATCATTTTCATACTTTTTCTCGGCTTCTCTTCTCACACTAACATTCGCATTCCTGGTTCTCTGGTATCTCTCTCTCTCTGCTGTCTGGTGTTCTGTTATTTCAGAAGTTCCTCCACGCCCTTTTGTTCAGTTCCTTTGCTTCCATACATGTCTTATTAAACCACGGATTCTTCTTTTGCTTCTGTTTTTTTCTTTTGGGCCGGGATAAACCTGTTTATTGCCTCCTGACACTTTTGGGTGACAGAGTCCATCATGTCTTGTATGGATTTAGTTCTGAGTTCTGTGCCCCATGGTATATCCCTTAGGAATTTTCTCATCTCATAATTTCCCTTCCGATACGCCAGCCCTTTGTTTCCTGGATCTTTTTTTTTTGGGGGGGGGGGGAGAAATCCTATCTCTACCAGGTACTCAAAGATCAATACACTGTGATCACTCATTCCCAAGGGGGGCTTCCAACTTAACTTCCCTTATATCCGACTTATTTAGGGTATCAGATCAAGCATAGCTGGTTTATCCTCTCCTCTCATTATTGTCGGTCTCTTGATGTGTTGGCTTAGAAAGTTTCATGTTGCCACGTCCAGCAGCTTAGCTCTCCATGTGTCTGGTCCTCCATGTGGGTCCCTGTTCTCCCAACCTATCTTCCCGTGGCTGAAGTCTCTCATGATTAGTAGTCTGCTAATCATGGGGAGACTTCCGTTCCTGCTAGCGGCAGATGCTGCTCTCCCTATTATATTAACAGTGGCCATGTTGTTTCTATCACATTCCTGTCTGAAATTGAAATAAGTTTATTGAGGTAAAATACACACAAAGGGATGGGGTAGCTCAAGCTATTCTCACCCCATTCAGTACATCGTGTTAATACATACATAGACACACATCACAAACAATAAACATATTACCAAACATTCTGAGAGATAAACATATACATTTCCTCCTTTACACAAGTAATTCCTGTCTGGGTCTTCTGTCATTTGGTTGGGGGGTGGGGGGGTTTATATATGACTAGTACTATAATTTTTTTGTCCTACAATTGCTATGGTAGCTGTTATGTAGTCACTGAAATCTTCACAGCCCTGAATAACCATCTCTTCAAAACTCCAGCCTTTTCTACTCAGCAGAGCTACACCACCACCACCTCTTCCTTCTCTCTTTCCTCACTACATAGTAGTCCTGTGCAAACACTGCATTTGTTATGGTTTTCGTTAGCTTTGTTTCTGTGAGTGCAATTATGTCTGGGTTTTCTTCTAGTGCCTATTCTCCAAGTTCACTTATTTTATTTGTAATCCCATCTATGATAGTGTACATTACTTTGAAGCTCACTTTCTTCTGTCCATTCTCTTGTCCCCTTCATGGTGAGTGTTCTGCTGATGGAGGAAGCTGTTCCATAGGTGTGAAGATTTGTGAGGTGGTTAACAGGGTCTCAGAGGATACTGGGGTGAGGGGTAGGGGGGGGGGAGACAGGGAGGATATGGGATGAATGGGGGAGGGAGGACAGGGAAGGACAGTGGGGAGGGGGGACATGGTGGGAAAGGGGTGAGCGGGAGGGAGAGTTGGCTGAGCATTTGAGTGGGAGCAGGGAGGGTTCGGTTTAAGGGGGGGGGGGGTTCTATGCAAAGGAGGGTGGTGGAGTTGCCCTCCCCTCTGGGGTTACTGGTTGTGGGTTCTCCCCTCACCTCTGGGGACATTGTGTTGGGGGCTGTGATTTCCTGGATTTCTTCTCTCGCCCTGCGCTTCTTCCTTGCTTCTGTCGCTATGGCTCTCTCCTCCTTCACCTTGTCCTTCTGGAGGAATACTTTTTTTGTATTCTCCCACATATTGCAAATGGCTCTTCCTCTTCTGTGTGGGTGTGCATGTGCGTGCATTCATTTTTAATTAAATTATATTTATCTGGTGTTTAAATAAAATAATTTACTAACACAAATCAGCTTATATATTTTCTGTCTTCTTTACAAAGTCTAATTAGTGAAAGATATTTCCATTGAATTTTCATTGAGACATTTTGTGTGTGTCTTTCAGGGAACAAAGAGTTAGCGATGGAGCTGTACCGTCGCGGCATCACAGAGCTCGAGTCTGGGATTGCTGTAGATTGTGCGGGTCGCGGGGATGCGTACGAGAGGGCGCAGAGATTGCAGGACAAGATGAGAACGAATCTAATTATGGCTAAAGAGAGGCTGGACATGCTAGGTAAGTACAGCTTCGGTGTGCAGGTAACTGAGGTTATAATGTTAATATATTTGTGTTATTGTTCTCCGTTATTCTTCCAGCATTATCACACAAACACAAAGTGCAGTGCTCGATCATCGGTTTATAAAGCATTTTACTAAAGCAGCTATATCATCAGTAACATGAGTTCACAGGAAGCAGCCATATTATCAATAACAGGAGTACAAAGGAATTATTAGTATTTACATAGGAATCACATTGTTGTTTGTGATGAACAGTATCACATCTTCTCCTGACATGTGTATTGCTCTAAGGCCATATGGAGGTTCAAACACTCGATATCCTAGAACTTTCACCTTTTCTCAACCACCAATGGTCGAGTGCTCGGTAACTCTAAACAGAATGTATAGAACAGATCGTTACACCAGTCTGTGTTAGACGGACAAGAATGTATCTATGCTGGTTAGCATCGTAAAAGCACAACAGTCACCTTCTGTGGTCGAGTGTTCAATAACTCGCTACATTATGTGGTCTAATATCTCTTACCTGGTCATGTGAAAAACAGAAGAAAATGTATATATGCTGATTAGCATTGTATAAATGCTACAAAATAAATGTATAAATTTCCATGTTAGAAAATAAGGTACAGTATACAAAACCTTCACACACAGTTGTCATCACTACAAGGTACTGTATTAGTGTCTAGTTTTATGCAAAGCAAATAGCATGCACAGATAAGTCATTTATTTTCCCTTATTACAATTGTATTGAAAAGTTTTTATAAATTTGGCTATGACTTTTTTTAACTTTATTTTCTAAGATTTTAAATACAGTATTCAAGATTTAAAGACTTAAATTTTGTATTACTGCTATATACAGTATATATATGGCTTGAGCCAATACACGATACAATAGCGCTGTATATACCACATTAGTATACAGTACAGTAATCTACATTTTCACTCAGTTTACTACAGTACTATGTATTTTTAACTTGGCATTTCTTTCTTTTTCTAACAAGGCATTTGAGAATTTCCCAAAGTGATCTCTGCATGTTTTAATGGAGTTTTTACCCTAAATTATACATCTTTTTACTTATGTGTGCACGTTATCGAATATATTACTGCTCTGGGAATATTTTCTCACTTTAATGAGCAATTATTTTAGCTAGGAACTTCTTTATATAATAATTAGAGAAACCGAGAGAGAACTATAATTAATGTAACAGACTCCAGAAGTCTGAAGTCTTTGTTTGTATTGCTTATATATTTATTTATTGTATTTACTTATTCAGATTTGTGTTTGTAAGTGCTGTAAATGTCAATTTTCACTACAGTTGAACCCTATTACAGTACTGTAGTTGCAGTTTTTAATGCCTTACAGATTACTTCAGAAAAACTCTAATGAAAGTTTAGTCGCTGTTATAGTACTGTATTTATATTTAACCAAAACAAAGTATTGTAATTACAAGTAATTATTTTGTATACTTAACCAGCTTAACATTTTTCCATATTTTTTGTACTTTTATTTGTAGTTGTGATGAAACATCACATTATATGTTGTATTTATTTGTTGCATGAGACACGAGTGTTACTGTTTTCTAGATTCGCTGGTTCACCTGCAGCAGCTGGAGGTGGATGTGCCTCTCCTCACCACCCTCACTCCCCCAGCTTCCCCTGCCCCTCGCATCATCCACACCCCCCCTCGCTTTGGGGGGGTTAAGGCAAATGCCAGTGGCAATAGGGGGCTCACAAATCATTCTCCCGCTCACACAAATAAGCCTCGGGCACGTGTTGCCCCGCAGGTTATGACTCTCTCAGATACAGGCCGAAATTCTTCAGATCGCCGAAATGGGCCCACTCACTCACAAAAGCCTTCTGAAGGTAGCTTACATTCTCACTATGATCTCCTCTCATAAATATCTTTTCTCTTGCTGATCTCTTACTAACATTGAAATAAGAACCTCCTGGTTTACATGACTAATGCCATCTTTTCCTATTTCTTGTGCCTGCTTTTATTCTTGAACCAGAGCCAGGGTTCATTTAACATTTACTTGTCCACTTACGAGACCTGTACATTTTCCCCTCAATCATGGGGGATTAAATCTGTATTTATTAAATAGTTTGAGCTTAGGAACTTTGCAACCCAAGGTTATTATCGTTATGGACAGTCTTGTAGCCCCTCAGAGGTCATAAACTGTTAAGTAAATGCAGACAAAGCCACCATCATTGAAGAAAGATATGCATGTTTTGTAAGTGGACACTTTAGAACTTGGTGAACTGTGGTCCAGTATTACTTCACTTTTGTCCCCCTTGGTAGAATCAGGCTGTTAGGGCTTATAAAATGTCATATGGCAGTTTTAATTCAAACTGAAAGCTGCACAGTTTTATGACTTTACATGAAAGTTTATCAAGACCACACCATAAGAGCTTGGTAATTCGGGTTCAAGTAATCTGAATGAATTTATATTTGAGTGTTTGACCCATTTTGACCTATTAGCCTACCTTCTAGCTTGAATAGAAATTTGGGTTCAAAGGTTATACCAAACTAGAAAGAAGAATAAATTTGAGCTCAAGTGCTTGACTTTTTAACTCAAATAAAAATTTGGGTTACTAAAATTTCTGCCAAACAAGAAACACGAATAAATTCTAATTTATAAATTTTTGGAAGTTCACAGTTAAAAATCGGTTATTTCGAATGTTCGTCTAATTCCAGTGGCAGGTGGGCCCCATATGATTTGGATTTCCGAACGAAGACAGCACCTCTGTTACTGTGTACAGTATGCTTTCACACTACACAAGTCCCTCCTAATGTCAGCATTACAATTTACAAGGATTAATGGCAAATTATATCAGTAAATATAGTTGATATTGAAGATTACACATTACAGTAATATAAATTGATTGCCAAAAGCATCGTACAGTAATATTAAAGATTCATTGTCGTTAAAGCTTTTGATGCTGACTTGGTTTTCGTAGATCTGTATTAATATTTCCGTTTAGTATTTGAACAGATTTGTATGCCAGAACATAGTAAGCATATGATCAATATTGTCAGTTGCAGGTACTTAAGAGTTTGTGCTTTATTATTCTATAGATATTTTCTGGTAAATAATTCACATTATACTAGATGTTTTCTGGGAAATAAGCTCATTATATTGGATGAGTTTGATAAAGCATGCACTAATATCCAGCCCTTGCTTGATTCTATGCTTCTCCTTTTCTTATTCTGCTTGCACAGTGGCAATGGAAGTGTATCCAACCCCACACACATGAAAAGACAATGAAAAACTGAGGACATTTCGGTCAGTCTTCGACCCCTACTAAGTCGACTTGATAAGGTTCCAGGATGAACTGAAGTGTCATCACTTTTCTTTCTTGTCATATGTATGAGATGGATTATTAATTTTCATCCAAATTATTGTGACTTACTCTCTGTGATGGCTCTTGCTTGCTGCAGTGACAGTCCCTGAAGACACTCTTACTGAAAATATACAGTGGTGTAATGGATCATTTCTAAAGAAAAGTCCTCTTTACACTTTAGCTTGTCACAAAGAGCAGCACTGTGTACTGCATCTTACTGACCCGTAGCACTCTGCTCCTGCGTTGTGTGTCGGTGGCAGCCTTGCTCATCCTTGTGCTCCTGATCCCATCCTTATATATTGGCCACAACAAACCTTACCTCTCCTACATGCTTTTGTTAATACCAGCACTAACATCGCTGTACATTAATTGCAAATTTTAAAATACGGTATGTAGTTTTAGTTCAATTTTGTTATAACTTAAAATACAGATGATTGATCATGCATGATTTCATATCTAAATTTTGCTATATTTGCCTTATAGCATGTGTGATAATGACTACCAGTGTAACTTCAGGGTAGCAATGTAAATGTTTATTATTTATAATGAAGGCTGTAAAACATGTGAAAATTAAATCTAGGTAGATATTTGGATCAAAATATTGCAAATAAGATGGAACATTTGGGTATTGCATCAACGTTTTACTCGTCGACCATCGTCATAGATGCTGGATGACCTGGAAACACATCAATAATTAATGACTATATAATACTTTTGAAACAGTTGATAGCAAATAGATCCACTCAAGTCGTACAAGCAATTCTCCTTGACAATGTAAAGGAGGGCTCAGCACCCTAGACATAGTGTAATCCAGTTTGAATAGCACTCATGCTTCTGGCACAGCACCTTATATTTTGACCAAATACTGCATATAATTCCTGCAAGTTTGAAAGTTAAAAATAAATATATGCTTCATATATTGCTTTTGACTGTGCTAATTGTTACAGAAATTTGCTGCTTTCTTTTATAATTAGAAGGTGTCTTCAATAAAGCTGAAGCAACATTTGCTTGCCTAAACAGATTTCACAGTTTTATCTTTTCTCTTTGAAGATGCCAAGACTTTTAAGAAGATTCCAACAACCAAGCGCATTACTACATTGAGCAATAAAAGTCAAACACTTCCTCGTAACATGGGGTCCAGAGCGGTCTCCAAGAATCGAGACGGAAAACATCCAGGCACTCCACCAAGTGTTAGACGCCAGTTATCAAATCAGGTTTGTAAAACACGTTCCGTATTTCATCTACTTGCATACATGTTGCTGTATTACACTGCCTTTATCTACCTATCTAAATATCTAAATAAGATATCTTATTTAATAAATAAGATATCTAAGATAAATAAGATATCTTATTTATCTAAATAAGTAGATATTTAGAAAAAATGCTGTTTCTTTTTATAATTAGAAGGTTCGAAAGCTTCTAATGGGCCTTCTTCGAAAGCCCAATATTTAGATGGTCCATGAAATAATACAGTACTATACTGTACTGTACCTTCATCTGTCCAGAAATAGGCCAAGCTTGACATGTATGTGTTTCAGCTGTATTATTGTGACTTATTTTCTGCATAAAAATGCACTTTTTTCTGGTGGGGCCAAATGGTGGCTCCATGTAGCTAGCAACACATTTCACATCAGCTCTAGCGAATCCGCAAAGGCCTACCGGAAACCAGAGACCAAATCATGAAGCCCTTCACAGAGGTGCAGAGAGCCTCATGATCACCATCACAGGGGTGCAGGGAGCCTCGTGATTCATGATCACCTTCACTGAAGAATCAAACACCAGAAATGAAGAGAAGCAAAACGGACAACTGCACGACACATAAAAAGTAAACAAACAATGCAGCAAATGACTTGGTAAATGATTTGCCCAGTAGCTAGGTCATACACCATCTGTTAACAGTTGACCACCACTAGGTGGCGGCAGCAGCAGCACCACAGGAGCTTCCCAGTCAGCAATTCTCAATCCTTCATCTGATGTCAGACGTGTCATGACGGCTCCATGGGTCGACAGCTGTGTGGGTCCTGTATTTTCTTGACAACTGTTGGCCATCGTTTGCACTCTGTCCTGTGAGGGCTCATTTGCTTGTACTGTTCATTGTTCAATTCTTTAGCTTCACAGGCACGAGTTTAAAACCTTAAGTTGTTGTGTGGACTTTGGAAACTGTTCATCTAGAGCTGCATGTGCTTAGGGCTACTTTGCCCTGACAATGTTATTTCCCTAGTGGGTTCAGATGTATGTCCCATAGAGGGAACCTTGCCCTAAGTAGTGCAAGTGTTTTAGACTCTTCTTTGAGGCTCTAAGGTTGAGGGGGTGTTTTGAGATTTATTGGTTAAGGGGCGCACTAGGGTTCATATGTGAGTACATATGGCAAGTTGCCAACACGCTTCATAGCCGAGTTTTTCCTAATGGTTGCATTCGGTTTCAATTCCTTTCGGCGAGCATCTTTAATCTCAGGATTTCCGGCTTGGGGTTTACCTTCAATCCTTTACAGGATTCATGGTCGAGGACCAGGCCGCGGGGACGCTAAGCCCCGAAACCATCACAAGGTAGGCGCTGGTAAGTTCCACAGGTGATTGGTATGGATCATCATTGATTGGCCCACCATGCCTCCACTTCTTACAGGTTTGAGAGATGCCCATCAGTTTTGCTACATTCCGATGGTCATTTGTACTGTCTCTGCTATGCCACCTGTTGAGTGGGTATTACCCTCTAGTGAGGCCTGTGGCATTTGGGTTCATTGGGTCTCTGTTTTAGCAAGTCTCCATCTGTTGATTTTATTTTTTTTGTAGTGATGAGGCTTAACAGGCAGCTCTCTTCAGGTTTGTTTGCCCATTATTGTATTGTTGTTTGCAGCTTGGTGCTTGCAGGGGGGGGGGGGGGGAGGCAATGGTTGTGGCATCATGGAAGGGGGGTTCATTAATGCTGGTGGAGGGGGGGAAGAGGTGATGGTTGTGGCATCATGGAAGGGGGGTTCATTAATGCTGGTGGAGGGGGGGAAGAGGTGATGGTTGTGGCATCATGGAAGGGGGGTTCATTAATGCTGGTGGAGGGGGGGAAGAGGTGATGGTTGTGGCATCATGGAAGGGGGGTTCATTAATGTTGGTGGAGGGGGGGAAGAGGTGATGGTTGTGGCATCAAGGGGAGTCATTAATGCAGGGGGAAGAAGGCAATGGTTGTGACATAAAGTGGGAGTCATTAATACGGGTGGAGGGGAAAGGAGGCGATGGTTGTGGCGTCAAGTAGGAATCATTGAAAAAAAGGACTGTACTGTACATGCATTTGTATATGCATACAATGCTGCAACCCATCCTCCGAATTGACAGTACGATTTAATACTAACTGTAATAAGTACATTTTCTTACTGTCATAATCAGTGCATAATTGCACTTATGGGGCTGTTACATTTACCCAACTCCCTCCCCCGATTTAATTCTCCTCGTTTTCTGTTAAGACACTCAGAATTTTACGATGAAGTTTTCAATTTGCTATACACCAGTTTTAAATATCAGGAATTTCTTTTTCAGGTTTATTAAACAATATAGATTTTATGCAAAATTTTAAAATATCTTGAGTTTCTTTACAATTTATTGATATATTTTAGTTTTGTTTTATTAGTTTTATAAAACTGTAATATCAATATAGCTATAGGTTAAGTACTAATCGTAATTAAGAAGCAATAATATTATTATCTTCAAAAACTAAGACGGTTAGGTGAGGTTGTGGTTTTCTATTCAGTTTTTCAGGTAAACTCAAATATTCACAATATATTTGATAGTACGATTTAATACTAAGTGAAAATAAGTACAATTCCTAACTGCTACGAATAGTACATAATTGCACTTATTTGTCTCCTTACATTTACCACTCCATTTTTGGAGGACGGGCTGAATATACAGTATATATATTTTTTTTTGTATTTTATTTTGTATGAAAAGGACTGTATGTATTTTCAGAATGGTGGACACGTAATGGGCTCGCCTTTGAAACGACGAGGCTCTGCTGGCTCTGGTCTGGGTGGAAATGGAGGTAATGGCACACCAAAACACACGCCATCACATAGACGGTGTGCTTCAGCGTCATTGAAAGGAGTTGATTCCAAATTAGCCCATGGCATTATGGATGAGATAATCGATTCTTCACCACCTGTGTCATGGGACGACATTGCAGGGCAAGATGTAAGTTTTTAGTTGGGAATTGCTCAGTAGTGTGGATTTTGTAATGAATGTTCCTGTTGTCGGGGATAGGAAGTAATGTCTTTGAACATAAAATATTAATGTGTGACAATTTTTGAATTGCAGATTGCAAAGAAAGCGCTCCAAGAAATTGTAATATTGCCAGCTTTGCGGCCGGAGCTCTTCACTGGTCTTCGTGCTCCAGCGAGAGGGTTACTATTATTTGGTCCTCCAGGTACGATTCAATATTTTATGTACAGTGACACCTCTTAAATCAAGACCTCCTTGTAATAAACCTGTCTACACTACACACCAAATTTAGCCATTCTATCCCTTCAACAGAATTTTGTTTCCCTCATAACAAAAAAAAAAAAAAAAAACATAAGAAAGGGTGCCCCCTAATATTTGTTGATGAATAGCCCCCAAAAAAGACAGATTTTAAAAAACTCAAATTTCACATTAATCTAGATCATGTCTGGAATGATAGATTCCAGATTTTTTTATTTTTTGTTATGATATATTTAATCCATTTAATAAAATTTAATAAATTTAATAAACAGGTATTTTTAGGTACTTTTTAGACAAGTTTTATAGTTGTTAATATAACACTTAAAATGTGTCTTATTGGTACATTGTAATATTTGTTATCATAAACATCTCGCATCGCTTAGGCTGCTAACAATACTTGTGAGCAATTCTAGGTAGACATTGTTAACCATATCAATAAACTGTTTGATAATAAAAGAGAGTAAGATTTTTTCCTGTTTATGAAATTTAAAACAGGCAGATATCTTCTGTTATAATATAGTAACCCAAAATAACGTGTGTGTGAAAGGGGACGCCCGTATTTAAACTGTTTTGTTTAAAGTGAAATTTAATTCGACAGTCTTAAGAGTTGAAGAATACCAGTGCATGTATATATGCAATAATTTAGATGTACAATCTTTCAGGTAATGGAAAAACCATGTTGGCTCGAGCAGTAGCAAGTGAAAGTTCGGCAACATTTTTCAATATAAGTGCGTCTACTCTGACCAGCAAGTATGTTGGTGAGGGTGAGAAGCTGGTCAAAGCATTGTTTTCTGTGGCTAGAGAACTTCAGGTAAGAATTTGATTATGATGTTTATTTCATTATTTATATTGTATATACAGTACCAGTATATAACTGGTGCCCAACCATGGTTTTATGATAGGCTCGCCTAAACTCTGGTCTGCGGGTAATGGTGTTCACATCCTTATACCCCTCCTTCAGATCAGAATGGGTTAAGGCAGGTGTCTGTGAATCACCAGAATGCCAGTTCAAGTCGCCTCATTGCCCCAAAATGATTGTCATTAACATATCATATATATATTTTTTTTACAGATTACTTATGGGCCAATTGGCCCATTACAGCTTACCAATCTCCTATGTTTTCATGATGGCTGGGGCAGTATATAATATGGTTTCGTCATGTTCTGGAAGATAGCAGTGTGTAAATTGGTGTTGGCTGTCGATTGGCTTGGTTTGCTTGATATACAATGCCTTCCCAATGTCCAATCTTCTATTGTCGCTATATTTGTCCATTATTTTGGTATTGTTTGTCAGGTTCTCTCTGGTGATGATGTGGCTATGTGTAGTGGACATATGTTCCTTGATGGGGCCTTGCTGATTGTGCATTGTTAGGCACTTTGAAAGGAATGTTATCTTGCTTTTATATGGAGTTCGTTGTGACTGACAGTCTCCAAGTAGACATATGAAGGCACAGACCACTTTTATCTCTTTCAAGGGGTTTTGTTTGGTGTCAGGAGTTAGTGACATTGAAATCCATTAGTGGCCATTGTACATTAATAAAATATAAAGTAGTACAGCATGAATACATTTTCATATTAATATTTGTATTCTTTTTTTGCAGCCAGCAATAATCTTCATAGATGAGATTGACTCTTTACTCTGTGAGAGAAGAGAAGGAGAGCACGAAGCTTCAAGAAGACTTAAAACGGAGTTTCTTGTTGAGTTTGATGGATTAAAGTCGGATCCAGATGAGAGAATTCTCATCATGGGTGCTACCAATAGACCCCAGGAACTGGACGATGCTGCACTTAGGTAACTACCAGACAAATATTTGTAAATATTTAGTTAATAAATTTCATGTGCTTTTAAGTTTTTAATAGAATACGAATTTGATATTATACAGTATGAATGCCCAGTTTATAAATAACACAATCCACACGGGACAAGAACCAGAAGTGTCAACATCTTTGTCCGTCCAGGACTCGATAAAAGTCGTCACCTTTATCGTGTCACAACTTATTTTGACCAATCCTGGACCTTTCACATCATAACTTAATTTCTTGTTCTGTAGGTTGGGTTACTCGTTTCAGGCACATTATTGTGACCTATTCTCTGCAATATTGCATTTTGCACTTCATGGCAGTTAAAACTGCATAATGATTAGTAAATTATCAAATTATCACTTATGGTATATTGAAATTGTGATAGTCCTTGAGAGGTATCACTAACTGTTCTTAAATTGAAAGTAATGTACTTAAGTGAGGACTCTTAATTCATAAAATTAACTATTGCCAAAACTGTGAGATTTAGTGTAGTTATGCCTTTCACCTTTTATGAATGTCATTAGAAAGTAAATACTGATTACATGCAAGTTTCCTCTATAGATGTTTGTAAAGCAATTAGTCTTGCTAATTTCATATTTTATGTTTACAGACGATTCAGCAAACGAGTTTATGTATCTTTACCAAACAAGAGCACACGCACGCTCTTGCTGAATAAGTTAATGACTAAACAGAATTCAGAGTTTTTTCCTCGGGACATGGATATATTGGCAGGACTAACTGAGGGATACTCGGGGTCGGACCTTACATCCCTGGCCAAGGATGCAGCTCTAGCACCTATTAGAGGCAAGTGTGTGATGGATAACTACCTGTTTAATAATACACAACCCACACACATGAAGAGAGGGAAAGTGATGATGTTTGTCCTGGACCCTTATCAAGTCATGGCCCTTATCACGTCCTCATGTCAGGACTTGATAGAGAGTTCAGGATGGACAGAAACAGTATCGCTTTCATTTCATTTTATATATGCATGGGGTGGATATTATTTTTCATCCATATTATTGTGACATTTTTTGCAACCTGTTTAATATTATCATAGTAATTCAAACAGTATATTTATCCGTGAAAGTGTGTGTTTGGCTGTGTTTGAAGTTGGGGCAGACACTTGGTGCTATGCTCAACACTTTGCAGGATGACTGGTCCTTGTCCAAGGATGGTCACAGAAATAGCAAATGGCACTAATTTTCAATCTCATTAAATACCAGATACCATCCTCCTTGAGGTTACCTTGAGGTGCTTCCGGGGCTTAGCGTCCCCGCGACCCGGTCGTCGACCAGGCCTCGTGGTTGCTGGACTGATCAACCAGGCTGTTGGACGCGGCTGCTCGCAGCCTGATGTATGAGTCACAGCCTGGTTGATCAGGTATCCTCACTATGATTCTTATAGCATATTATTTTATATGTGATGATTAAATGTTAATTTATCTTTAGTTAGTTTATTGATGAACAATAGTTTGTGAAAAGGGTTATAGGGATAAATTGAAAGTGATGAAGAAAGTGTTTGAAAGGTATGGAAGGTGGTGGTGAATAGGGAAGGTCGTGATGAGTAGGAAAGGTGGTAAATTACACAAACTTTGCAAAGGCATGTGGTAAATGTGACCATGGTGTGATAGTCCACAAAATGAGGTCATTAGGAATAATGGGTAAAGTAGAATGATGGATATTCAGTTGTCTGTCAAACCAAATGCAGAGAGTAACATTCAACCAAATAAAATTGAGTCCAAGCACAGTTAAAAGCTCTGTTCCTCAAGACATAGTGCTTGCACCAGAGGTTCGTGATTGTTCAGTATCCTCCCAGCAAGCATAAGAAATATTGCCGGAACAAAAGTGGAAGTCTTCAAGAAAGAACCGGACACTTTTCTGCAAGAAGTGCCGGACCAACCGGGCTGTGATGGATATGTGGGCCTGAGAGCCACACCAAGCAACAGCCTGTTGGACCAAGCTTTCATAAGTCGAGCCTAGCCTCGGGCCGGGCTTGGGGAGTAGAAGAACTCTCGGAACCTCATCCAGGAATAATCCTGGTATACACAGTACAGTTTTTGTACCCAATGAAGTTGAGAACCAAAAATTCAAACATTGGTGGCGGCATGGTTGGTAGTGACAAAAATACTGGAATTACCCAAAAATTGGGTCTGTTTTATGTAATTGGTGGGATTGAACTTCTATTGTATATCATATTCTGTACAGTACTGACATTTGTAGGCCATTTAGAGTTTTGAAGGGCCATTCTTATGATATGAAGTTTAACGTACAGTACTGTATACACTGTATATAAATAAAACATTTTCTGTTTACAGAGTTGAAGCCCGAGCAGGTGGTGTCGTGCGATCCATCTGAAGTTCGAGGAATCACACTGGCCGATTTTAAGGAATCATTGAAAAAGATCCGCAGATCAGTCCCACAGTCCACAATTTCTACGTATGAAAAATGGAATGCAGAATATGGAGACATATCTACATGAACATTTTTTATATCACTGTTGTGAAAAGTCATAGTGATTAATCACAATTTTTTTATGACCAACATAATTACTTTCATGTCACTAAAGGTACCTAGCATATACTTATACAAAGCCTCATGCTCATTGTTATAGATGATATTAACTTTATATTGTAAACAGTAGAGTGCATTTGAGTTGATATTACAGAGCTTATACTTTCACTAAAAGATTTCACTCAAAGGGTATGACTTCACTCAAAAATGTCAAGGTATGCACAATGACATCACTAGAATGTGATGTATTGAGAAACAAAAATTGAGGTTGTATAATGAGATGAAAACTGCTTGCCTGGACTCTTCGTGGTTCAGTGGGTAGTGCGTGTGCCTGGGAGTCCAGAGATGAGGGTTGGATCCCATCGGTATTCTCTCATAATAAGGTATGCTTTCCATGAAGAAATGTTGGGACAAGACGAAGGGATGGAACCAGCATCCTGGGGTCACCACCGTCCTCCTCTCAAGATTTCCTTGTAGATATATCACGTTATTGTGATTCCATTGTGTGTGTGCTTTCTATCCTTATCATGTTGTTTCAATTTTAGTGTTATATCAGAGATGGCATTACTAATATTGGTGGGGGGAATATATTATCATAGCACAATATCTTAACATGAAACGCTAGGTTTTGGTATGGCTTAACTTGAGCTGCTTTAATGCTTAGAAGTGCTTGAGGGTAGCCAGTTTGATATTGACAAATATCTGATGGCAACCTCCAGACAGTAGATGCTATCGTCTATTGTTTTTAGGATTGGAAGCTCTAGTGGTAGTAGGTTATATTCTGTATTACAGTAGTAGGGAACTTGAGTAGTGTTCAGGTTTTTATTGATTTCATGCACACTACTTCTGAGTGCACTAAGGAAATCATTCAAAGATTATGATTGAAAAATTTAGTTTTTCTAATTTTGCCTACAGCAAAACTAATAATTTTCTAACATAGAAATAACTGGCATGAAAAAGTCTTATGATTTGTGGTACAATTAAGATTTTTTTCTTATAACATTAACTAGTACACACAATAGTTTTTGAATATAGAGTATACAAGCCTCAAATTTTGCTTTAAAATATTTTAAACAAAATTTATCTAAAATAATTGCAAACAAATTAGACCTATAGTTCTTTGTAGGAAAATCTACTCTGTTTATTGCTTGTTAAGAGTTAGATGGACCTCTTCAAATAAATGTGAACCACAACGATGGGGCCTGGGAAGCGGGAATAATTTATTTGGGCCGTAGTATTTTTGGCAAATAGTAAAATTAGGGGCAAGGCTATTATTGCATGGCAGTTACTAATGCTTTTTTTTTTTTGGCTTCTTCTCAAGTTAACTGGATTACTTCAAAAGCATTTCAAGTTGGCAGTTTTTGCACAGTAAAAAGATTTTTGTATAAATTTTCTTTTTAGGTTGCATAGTCAACCTTGAATAAAGTTCTTTGACATAAATACAGTTTTTACATCTTTGATTTTAACACTGAGGAAAACAACAGGTACTGATATGTGCATTTAAAACGTATTGTATAATGAACATATTACTAAACGTAATTTCTTACTAAACGTACTAATTTCAAATTTAAAATTTTGCGATTTTCATAAATTAAAAAGAATATAATTGTTATTTTATAGTTGACATACCCTTTGTAGTATTGCAAGAATGATTGAAGATAGGTGAGTATATTGGTCCACTGTAGTAACCTCCATGTGTACATTTTGTTGAGAGAGCTTTAAAATCACATACCTTTTTTATATCATCTTTTTGATAGCACAAGTACTTGGTATGGAAGTGAGAATGGTGTAACATTTCTGGTAATTCATAGGCAGCAGAGCTTGATACACAAGATCTTGTAATTTTGCAAGTCAGTTTTGTTGACCTTTGAATTTCTTATCCCAGTTTTAGTAAAGGCATGATTTGGGTTTTGTTGTTAAATATTTTGGGGGTAAAAAAATTACGTACAATGTAGATTGTTTCAAAATTGTCTAAAATGCAGACATTGTAATTTGAAAAGTGATATTCCATGCTCCTTATAATAGCATTGCATTTTATTTTTGTAAACAGATTTGACTGGAATTTGCGTGAGCTTGTTGTGTGCTAGTTAGAGAATTTAGACTGGGTGTAAAACAGTGAAGCTCAATGTTGATAGTGGCTAGCTAGTCAGGACATGTATGCTTGTGACTTCTTGAACAGGAGTGATATTGATGCACAACTGTGAGGACACCAGCCTATAGGTTATTTTTTTTCTTTTAAGTTTGATCTGCCAATTTAGAAATTGCTACGTGTAACAGAAATCACACATCACTTAAACAGGCTCATTAGTAATGGCATTAAAGACAAACATTACCTTGATATGAATAGAAACCCCAAAGCTTTAAAGTGCAGGAAATAGCGTGTTGATTGTAGACAACTTATAGGTTAGAATGGCATTAGTATCACCATTAAGAAAAATATATGGAAAATTGTACCTGCTCCAGTATATTGTAGTGTGTCCGGCAGTTAATAGTGTATAAGGCTGCCAATTAAAACAGCAGAAACTAAAAAGGTATCGTATAGGAGCTTTTGTAATCCCAGTCCTGTTAATTATAAATATTCTCATGTGAAATTTTGGTATTGGCCATAGACATAGTATAAACCGTTTGTCATTTAACAAGTTACAGAAAATACACGCAATTCTATTTTGTTATTTATTTGTGTGTTCGTTTAGAAATCTTCACTTGACATTTTAATATATTAATTAGTTTAAATAAAGTTCACCGACGTACTATTTTAATTTTAAATGTCAATTTATTTTTCTTATAGGATATAACATCAAAGGATGTCATGTGTTGAGGTAAAGTGGAGATGCCAACAGTGTTTTTTGGCACTAGTGCTCAGCCGATTCAAATTAATGGTCACACGTAATTTTGTATATATTATTGGTATTTGTGCCATAATTTGTAAATTTTGTGTTGACTCGGGTGCATTTCATCACTATATAAGTGACTAAAACAAGGATTCAGGACTGGACAAGTAATATATTTTGAAAGTAATTAAGTACTAGATTAATAAATTTTGCTATGAATCTAGTGGTAGCACATGCATTGTCTTGTGGGATTCCTTATCAGCTTTTCTAATTTATGCTCATTTTGTAAACATATTTCATTAAGAAATGCAGGTTGGTTATCAGGTGTCATCTCAATGGCAGTTTTCTCTTCTGCCTGAACATTTTACAATTGGAAAGAACAGTCCTGATTGCCTTTGATTTGCCTTTGGTTATTGTCTAACCCACAGTTCAAAACAATCCGTGCCATCATCTTGTATGATTCTTTGCTCAGCCCTGTTTCGTGTGTGGGGACACTGACCAAATAAGTAAAGCTTCAATCAGTTGTCTTCTGTGCAGTTACTAATTTTCCTCTCTTGAATTATAATAGTAGTGTAAGAAAATTAACACGATGCATAGCATGTATGAAGTAACTTGCCATAAGCAACTGAAATGTATAGTTTCCCTGTTCAATTTGAGGTCATAATTTCTTTAAAACATAATGTTACAATTATAAGTTGTGATAATGAGTTGCAATGCTTGGTGGATTTTCCAGCTCGTGACCCCTCCCCCCACACACTTATGTTTCACTGTCTGGGTAATCTGAGAGATGCGTTTGAATTCTTGGAAATAATAATTTACATTTATACAATTTTAAAATGTGCTCTTCAATAAAATATTAACTTGGTTAAAAATATTCACCTGCAATGTCATCAATTGCAAACTTATCCCCATATTTTAAATGCTTTTCATACTGTTTAATGGACTACTTCACTCTCCATTTTACTCTTATTTTGTGCTGATATTTCTGTGTGAAGTCAGAAATGTCAAAAGTCCACTGAATTTATTAAATAAATATTTTAAGTGTTGTTAATGTGGCAGAATTTATTAAATAAATTTTGTTCTTTGATGTGATGCTGTTTTGGAAACTTTTGTATAAGTTGCCAGATAAATATTTTGCTGTAAATTGTAAATATAAATGTTAAAACAAAAGTGGTAAGTTCTTTATTATGAAGATTCCGAGTAGTTACATATTGTTGAAGTATGGGAACTGTAGTTTATGGATTGGCAATAATGTATCGTACGTGGACAACTTGTTCCAGATGTATTCTCACATGGATTGTCTTGTCAGAAAATGATCAACATATAAACAAAAGTAAAATACCTACAGCTATGCCTTATATGTATGATGAATATATCTAAATGTCCAGACTCCACTCATTCACATAATTGTAGCTCTATAGTAATGAGCTGGTAAGCTGCTGTTGTCAGTACCAGAAACAATAGTCACCATAAGATTCTCAAAATAATATTAAAGTATATATTAACTTTGCAACATCAAGAGAGATGCCAAATCTGTTCATTGTGACATGAAACATTATAAAGATTTGCACGAAGTTTTGCTGCATGTATGGATGACAAAGCAGCAGCCCCTCATAAATACTGTATGTGTATTTAACTTGCACAACTTGCAGCAAAACTGGCCATACACATATTTTCACTCGCCCATTTCCCACCTTAATGGGGGTGGGGATGTAACACTGGTTGGGAGACAATTCTACTTCAAAGGTTTTATGCCTTGTCTTGCATAGTAATCGTTCCCATCATGAGGGACAGGATGCTTGTTAGGGTATCAAGGTTTCCCTATGCCAGTGCAACCCACAACAGTTGCCTAAATCTCATATATTTACTGCTAGGTGAACAGAGGCATCAGGTGAATGGAAATGTGTCTAAGGTACACTTAAGTACTAAAAATTGTTTCCATGAATGACTATTTATAGCAGCCAAAGTGATAGTTTTGATTTTAATTATATGTTGTTATGGATGACAAATAAATCATTCCATTGTATGTTGTTATGAAGTAACAAAAATAGAAAGTTGGTACTGAAACTGCAGGGACAATTTTTTCCTGATGTGCTAATTTTGTCTTAAATTGTGTATTGTTTGATGCTGTATGTTTTGTATTTGATAACTTGTGATAACAGCATTGATGCTCATAACTACTGGATGTAAACTACTGTTTGTCATTAAGTTTACATTTGTGACCCAGTGACCGTGCTTGTACTACTTGCAAATAAAACATTTTACCCTTGTTCATTCTTACTGTACCTATGTTTTATAAGCCTAATATGACTCATTGTTTTGCTTCACAACGAATACCTCGACTCATCAGGATGTACGCGGAGGGGCTTCTAACTGTTCTACTTCTCAAGCCCAGCCTGGCCTGGTTTGACATGGCAGTTGAATGTAGCTGAGGAAGCTTCTCCTCTGGCCTTTAGTGAGAAGTGAAAGAAAAACTAAGGCCAGTGGAAGCCCCACACATGTATTACCCTTATATAAGTGTAGGAGACATTATCACTTCCGGATAGCGGTAATGACGTCCTAAAATAATTACACGCAGTTTCCCCGATGACAACAGTGCTGACTAAAATTTAAATGTTTGTAAAAATTCCATTTATTGACCGATTATTATCCGATTATAGTGAGGTTTCTTTTAAAATGTCAACGTCTTCCCATTCTCTGTGGCTATACATACAGAGGCACCTCGACTTAGATAATTTTGAGTTATGATATAAATTTGATCGGAAAATGCGACTCGACTTACGATAGTGTCGTCAACTAACTATGTTCGTTGATACACGTTCGGGTGGACCAAGCGCATGTTCCCGGTCACGCGGGCTGACCTGCCTCGGTTTACTGGAGCCGCCCCACTTAGTGACAATCATGCTTGTAAAAAATAACATTTTTTTGGTGTTTTTTGCTTTTTGAACATAAAACTGATTATAATATATCACACCATGGGTCTGCAGAAAGTCAGTGGTAAGGTTAAACATATAAAAACACATGTGAGGATGACCATAGAGGCAGCTGAACAAATTTCTTCAGGGAAGGAGGAGGCAGTGCAGAATGTCCCTTCCTCAACAATTAGGAAGTGGTGTAGACTGGGAAGAAATGCAAACTTTTGTTGAAACGACTTACCCAGAGCAAGCTGTAGTAGGCCATTGCCTTAACCGTTTCAATGACACCGTGATGCATCACTACAAACAAATGTTAAAACGAAGGGAAAACAAGTGTCGCTAGACAAATTTTTAGTGAGACAAACAAGCAGGTTTTTTTTTTTTCCTACCACAGACGTGGCCACACACTTACAATGCTAACCAGCATATATACATTTTCTTCTGTCCTCCATAGACAGGGTTAGAGATCAGTTAAACATATAGTTCAGGGGTTTATTGAACAGTCAACCATAAAGTGATTCGGTGCTTTTAAAATGCTAAGCTAACCTACATACGTAAATACATAGATACACAGATTTACGTATGCCATACATAAAGTGTTCGATGTGTCATTAATGTGCATTTACAAAGGTGAAATGTAATTCTGATCAGCTTCCATATATACTTTATACACATACATATACATACATATATACATACATGTATACATACATATATACACACACACATGCATTCACATACATTTGTCTCTTTTTTACTCTGACGGGGTGAGATAGCTGATAGAGAAACTAGTGTGCAATTAAGCACTTAATCACTGAAGGTGATTAAGGTGCTTTTACAAGCTCAGGTTATATAGTTACATCACATACATACATTGTATAATTGATACATTACATGGTCAATCTTGGATACAAGTCCAATATATCAAGTAGTCCAAACACTGCTAGTCCAAACAAGCAGTGAACCGTAACCAGGTCCTAGTGGTATGCAGGCAAAACATAGGAGAGAGAAATCATCACTGCCTGATGTTATAATGGAAGGGGACTCTCCTTCCAAACAGTAACTCCTCCTCCTTCCCCCTCATCACCATCTTCCATACGCCATCAAGAGTCTTCCATAAAGGTAAGATAAACATATTTACTGTATTGTAGTTAGAGAAAAAAGTTGTATTCAGTATAAAATGTATTTTCAAGTTAATATATGTGGGGGTGTGGAATGGATTAATTCGATTCACTTTATTTCTTACGGGAAAAATCACTTCGACTTAGGATACGTCTCTGGGAACTGATTACCATCGTAAATCGAGGCCCCACTGTAATGCTTTTGTGTTATACAAGTACTACACAACTGATAATAAGAAATCATATGTACTCGCATTCTTCTAGTTCCGCGAAGTAGACATTTCGTCACTAGTGTACTTTGAGTATAGGGATTGGCCTCTCAAAAATGACAAAATCATACATGCTGGTGATGAACATGAGGATGACTGCAGTTCTACTAGTGACAATGTTACAACACCTGGACCATTAGGTGTGAGGCCGCCACTATTCTTTACCTCTATTCACTTTTATCTTATGGTATTGGTAACGTTGTATTTATATTTCTTGTATGTAAATATTCCTTTAGAGCATTCTATTGCGAACAATTTGACACCTAATTGAACGATGTAGCACAAAAATTTAGGTAAGAAAGTTGAAACAGTATAAACATTGCTCGCTCTACCTTGGGGTGCACGGTGGCCCGCCTACCGGGGCAGCAAAAGTGTTTATCAGGAACATTGGTTTGACCAGGAAGTTATAGCTTCTGGGGACAACACACTAATGGGGTGAAAGAAAATGGGTGAAATGAAAGGTTTAGTGAAGCCTGGCTGAATCAACTGATTGTACTAGTTAGCTGGGATAGGATCAAGTAGTCACTGGAGTTGGCACTTACTGGTTCTGTCTTGTCCAACTTCTTAGTTGTGACCTGTATATTTGATTTGTACAGCTAATAATGTCACTAAACAATGTGTGTTATAAAGTAGGGTCTCCTAGAGCAGTAGACTGCTCCACCACAATACTGTGATGGAGAAGCAAGGGAGGAGAAAATGCTGTGGTGGAGCACCAAGGGGGGACATAATACCATGGTTGAGCAACAAAGGGGTAGAATCTTATGATGGAGCAGCAGGAGACAATACTGTGATGGTGCAGCTGGAGACAATACTATGATGGAGCAGTAGGAGGAGACAATACTGTGGTGGAACAGTAGGAGACAATACCGTGGTGGAGCGGCAGAAGGGAAGACAATACCGTGGTGGAATGGCAAGAAGAGAGAATACTGTAGTGGAGCAGCAGCATGAGACATTACTGTAGTGGAGTGGCAGGAGGAGATAATATTGTATTGGAGTGGCAGGAGGGGAGACACAATACCATAGTGGAGCGGCAGGAGACAATACCGTAGTGGAGCGGCAGGAGGAGACAACAACTGTAGTGGAGCAGCAGGAGCAGGAGACAATACTGTAGTGGAACTGCAGCAACGTAAGAACAAAGGTAACTGCAGAAGGCCTATTGGCCCATACGAGGCAGCTCCTATTTATAACCACTCAATCCCACTTATATACATGTCCAACCCACGCTTGAAACAATCGAGGGACCCCACCACCACGTTACGCGGTAATTGGCTCCACAAATCAACAACCCTGTTACCGAACCAGTATTTACCCAAGTCTTTCCTAAATCTAACCTTATCAAATATATACCCATTGTTTCCTGTTCTGTCTTGTGTTGGCTCCGCGAGGCTCCATGAGGCTCTGCGAGGCTCCACGAGGCCCGGGCGAGGCTCTGCGAGACCCGGGCGAGGCTCCACGAGACCCGGGAGAGGCTCTACGAGACCCGGGCGAGGCTCCACGAGGCCCGGGCGAGGCTCTGCGAGACCCGGGCGAGGCTCCACGAGACCCGGGAGAGGCTCTACGAGACCCGGGCGAGGCTCCACGAGACCCGGGAGAGGCTCCACGAGGCCCGGGAGAGGCTCCACGAGACCCGGGCGAGGCTCCACGAGACCCGGGAGAGGCTCTGCGAGACCCGGGCAAGGCTCCACGAGACCCGGGAGAGGCTCTGCGAGGCTCCACGAGACCCGGAAGAGGCTCCACGAGGCCCGGGAGAGGCTCAGCGAGACCCGGGCGAGGCTCCGCGAGACCCGGGCGAGGCTCCGCGAGGCCCGGGAGAGGCTCGGCGAGGCCCGGGCGAGGCTCCACGAGGCCCGGGAGAGGCTCCGCGAGGCCCGGGAGAGGCTCCACGAGGCCCGGGCGAGGCTCCGCGAGGCCCGGGAGAGGCTCCACGAGGCCCGGGCGAGGCTCCGCGAGGCCCGGGAGAGGCTCCACGAGGCCCGGGCGAGGCTCCACGAGGTCCGTGCGAGGCTCGGCGAGGTCCGGGCGAGGCTCCACGAGACCCGGGCGAGGCTCCGCGAGATCCCAACACTCTCACAACCAAGGTACAAGTTCTCTTCTTGAAAACTTTCGTAATTTCATTTGAAGATAATTAGGATAGATAATTCCTTGTTCTCATATCAGATATAGACAAAAATACAAGTCACAGCTTCGTATCATCCTTTGCAGATGACACAAAAATCAGTATGAAAATTACCTCGGCTGAGGACATTGAAAAACTTCAAGATGATATTAATAAAGTTTTCGACTGGGCATCAGAAAATAACATGATGTTTAACAGTGATAAATTCCTGGTACTCAGGAACGGTAAAAATGAGGACCTTAAACATAATACAGAGTACAAAACACAATCAAATGTGCCCATAGTAGGAAAACAGCATGTAAAGGATTTGGGAATAATGATGCTTGACGACCTAACGTTTAGGGAGCATAACCAAGCAAATATTGCGTCAGCCAGAAAAATGATCGGATGGATTACGAGAACTTTCAAATCCAGGGATCCCATCACAATGGTTGTACTCTTCAAGTCACTTGTGTTGTCCCGTCTTGAGTACTGCTCAGTACTCACTTCCCCCTTCAGAGCAGGAGAGATTGCTGAAATAGAGGGAATACAGAGAACATATACGGCACGCATAGACGAGATAAAACACCTAAATTATTGGGATCGTCTCAAAGCTCTCCAAATGTACTCACTAGAAAGAAGACGAGAGAGATACCAAATAATATACACCTGGAAGATACTGGAGGGCCAAGTACCAAATCTACACAGTAAAATAACAACGTACTGGAGTGAACGATATGGAAGAAAATGTAGAATAGAACCAGTGAAGAGCAGAGGTGCCATAGGCACAATCAGAGAACACTGTATAAACATCAGAGGTCCAGTGAAGAGCAGAGGTGCCATAGGCACAATCAGAGAACACTGTATAA